GGCCGTCATTTCCAGATCGTACCAAGTTTGCATTACTTGAAATAGCTCACCGTAAGAAGGAACTCGGCTAAACACAGTCTCTTCCGTAGTAACCTAAGATATGTGGTACTTTCAGCTAATTCGGTAAGGTACCAGTACTGTGTTACAGTGATACTACAATTGGTAGTGATGGCCATAAACTGTGATTTTCATCGTCTTTCGATTAGCGTTTATTCAGAATTTGGCGACATTGCTTTCAGAACAGGCATCTTTTTAAGAAAGGAAACTTGACCGTTTAACTGTATCAATTGAATTATTCGTATTGTACATTGCTTGGTGTCAGAGTTTGCTCTGTGCTTTCAGTGGCTTACAGTTTGTGAGAGAACGAGACGTGGTGTAATGTCAAGGTCATTTATGTTTGCTTTCGTGAGACTCGTGAGCAGCAAAAACATTTGAACGAGATGAAACGGCTAGAAAATGTTGTTGGTGGACTGAAACGTTGTGTATGTTTAGTGGTAGAGGTGGCATTACTGCGTGGCGTTTGATGAAATAAGAAACATATTTGCACTTCGGTCTGGATTCAGAATGAATCACAGAAAATGTCTAGTTGGAACATTCAGTGGGACTTGTTGATGGGAAATACGGCTATACAACACCTGCAGTCACACGACAACGCAGAACGCAGGAAAATGTTTGTGTCTGGAATCGGGGTTGGAACAGATGGCACCACTGTTCGCACGACTCGAAACGTTTTAGTTTGTTCATTGTAGGGCTACCACACGACGTAATTTCCCCAGACGTCTTTAGAAAATGTTGGACCAGCCCGAGTGGAATTTTTAAAATACAGTGTCTGGAATTGTGAAGCCTTAAGCATTCGTATCTAGTTCTGGTTAATTTAATAATATATTTGCAGGTTTTATGCCTTCTCACTGCCAGCAGACTTCTCTTGGTGGGCGTACAATAGTGGCCTGAGTAGACGCAATGGGAAGTAAAATTAAAATTTATGGAAGACTTAAACACGTATCGTAGTCTTTAGAACATTCGTTAATTGTCTTCATGTGTTTTCAGATATCAGTGGTCAGTTTGTTATATATTTTGAACACCCTCACGGAACAACACAAATATTCAGGTGAACATTTGTGCCGAAAGTGTAATTTAAAGATGCGATGCTAGCATTTTAATGGCCCAATGGTATCAGAATCTCTAAAATTGATGTATAGAGTTCTAATTTTTGTCTATCTGGTCTTCCTTTTTGGTTAAGGAGATATATAGGGAATTTTCTATTTTCTGTCTTGGTATTGCTGTTGCGATATCTTCCATGTTGTGATGCAACGCTGTAGGAATCATTTAGTAAGTGTTGAGTATTTATGGTTAATGAATTGTGTTCTGACTTACAAACCACAATATTTAGTTGATTGTTCATGGTTCTGCAACAACAGCTAGTAAGTATTGTTGCATACAGTAGATAACTTTCACAACATGACTCTCCATTATAATCTTAAACTGCGAATAATACAAGACTCGTGCAGTGGGATGCAGTATCAATTAACAGTGAGTATGCGGATCCCACTGGCCCTTCCTATTTACGGCAGGAGGATACTAGCAAATCCATCCACTGATTGTCGTACGGTATCTTATCTTGTAGTGACCCATTTTTATTATATATTATCAATAGGCATAACATTTGCAATTATAGCAGAATTTAATAATACCATTGAGGACCATTAACCAGAGACTATGAAGACTTTTCATTCCTGCCACAATATTTACTAACATGTCGTATCATCTGAGAAATATACTTGTTTCTGTTTACAGTTTCCTTGTATTTTAAAAAAATAAACATAGTTTCCCTTGAGAGATTTAATTTTGAGGTTTCCGCAGTAATGAAAGCATGATTTCTAATTTTGCTACCGTAAGTAGGGATGCTGCTTACGAGGTTGAATGGTATCATATTCCAATAGACCACATACCTGTACTTACTTGAATATGACCTTCAAGGATTTTGCTCTTAATTTTAAGTTATTCTCATGTCCATCGAAGGTTTTGTGAGCTGGAGTTTGATTTGCAAGCATAATCTTGTGTTTCTCTGTGTGCAACCTTGTGAAAACGTATTTATGGTTACAGGTCGAGAAGATTTATCGCCACAGAGCAGTCTGAATGGACACAGTTTTGATAGCTGTGATGCTAAGAAGAAGAAGGGACCAGCACCGCGCCAGCAGGAGGAGTTGTGTCTCGTCTGTGGGGACAGAGCGTCTGGCTACCATTATAATGCACTTACCTGTGAAGGGTGTAAAGGTAGGGGTTGACTCCAGCTTGTGTTCTGTCAAATGTGATATTACAAGGGATGTACTTGTTTTAAGGCAGTGTCCCGGAATTTTCCTGAGGAAAACAATTTCGATCAGGATAGATGCTGTAATGGGCGAGATCTGAAGCAGATTCGTCACAAATACAGGACACGCGCATCCTATGTTTAACTAAGCTGCGTTGTTGGTTAATTTCGACAGTTTTTTAATTTAGAGTCCCAGCCATTGCACGTGCTTTGTACATTTAGAATAAGGGAGAGAAATTTTGTGTGTTGGGAGTACCGAGCTGAAGTTTTACGAATGCCATTGCTTGGTGGACAGTGATTCAGGATGTGGTCCATTGGCGGGCTTTTGTGAATCTTTTATTCTTTGAATCCCACCCAAGTTGTAGGAGGCTGTCAAAGGGGGTGGGGTCATGCAAACCATTCTGATGACATCTCAGCTGTGTCCACGGTAGTATTATCCTTCCGTCTTCCAACTGGTTTGTTCCATCCAGACTTTGTATGCATTTCTTGGTTCCTCGTGCAAGCTTTAGGACTTGCCTGTCTTGTCGATAATAAATGTTTGGTGAAAAGAACAAATTATGAAGTCTCAGGAAGGGTCCAGTGGCATTGGGGAATTTCTAGGAACATTGACGCGATACGTACGTAATGTAGGGATTGTACCTGCTAATAATGTTCGAAATTTATACACGAAGTAATTTCAAACAGCAAGGACTTAACAACCACGTCTGTAATGGACGAGGTGTTATTATTATTTAGTGTTCTGTCTGACGACAGGTCCATATGAACAGGATCCTTCCATCCTTTTCTCGGACTAATGTAAAATATTATTTGTGATAACTGGACGTTACCTGTTGCAGGCGGACTTATGTTACCAGAATATATGAATGTTTAGTGTTTTGTATTTGATTGTACTAACACGTTTCAGGATTGACGTAGCTCAGTTTAGCTGGAACTATTTTCTTCTATTTGTGGATTAATTCCAATTTATGGAAGTTCATGCGTAGTAATTTTTCTGTTATGACTTGTGAGTGGAAGACCGTGTGTCCTGGCACTTTATTTTGCCTCTGATTGCAGCAGTGATAATTTTGTATTGCCTTTAGTTCCTTTTAATCAAAGACGGTAACGTGCGAGGTATCGATTCATGGCATGATAACAGTGCCCAAAATTGCCTTGGTTTTAAGACACTTTTTTAACATTTCAAAATTTGTGAAATCAGGGCGCAGCTCACGTTTGACGGTGTCTAAGAATCGATATAGCGTCTGTTTTCCTGAAAAGCTGTTACTAAATCGAGGATATGCGGCGCGTGTTTTGTGTACATCTTTCATGATCTGCATTTGTTCATTAAAAGGTAATTCTTGATGTTCGTAGGTTTTTTCCGGAGAAGCATAACGAAGAACGCGGTGTACCAGTGCAAGTATGGGAACAACTGTGAAATTGACATGTACATGCGGCGGAAATGCCAGGAGTGCAGGCTCAAGAAGTGTCTCAGCGTGGGCATGAGGCCAGAATGTAAGGAAGCTTTTTAAAGTTGGTTTGTAGTTTGTACACATTTCCTAACTTGTTTAATTGCACGATTGAGTTTAAGGGAACACAAGTTGATGCAGAAAGGCCGCGCTGTTTTTAGTCGAGTTTTACGTCAGTTTCTGATTCTTTTTCATTGCGAACAGGAGATGTCTTTAATGTCTCGAAGAATGTATTGCATTTAATCTACTATTAAAATCAGGTTGTTGTGTTACAGTTATCGTGGTTGTGCGTTTTAAGACACTTCTCTCCACAAAGTAAACGGTTCTCGTAGGAAAGTGCCATTAGCCTCGGGCATGGGCATTTTTCAACGCCATTGAATGAGAATATTTTAAACTGTTGTATTATTCTGGCTTTGCAGGTGTTGTACCTGAATACCAGTGTGCGGTAAAAAGAAAGGAGAAGAAAGCACAAAAAGACAAAGATAAACCAAACTCGACGACGAACGGGTCACCCGAGGTTGTGGTGATGAAGGAGCCTGATCCCAAGGTATAATCAGTTTTTCTGTGGTTTGGTTGTAAAGGAATGAATTTGTGGCTACACTTCTCTAAACTCCTGGTAAATAAGTAAAGTAACTAAAGTGAACGATTTGAACTTGTTTGTGTTGAGCGAAATCATGAGTACGAAGATTGCTATTTTCTGGGACGTAGCGCCATTTGCTGTTCTTCGATTGACGGGGGACGAGGCGGTTTTACTCGTTCACCCAATCTGTGGACAGTGCGTGGTAGATACTGAGCAACATTTCAGGTAACCACCGGACTTCGCGCCGCTACGTCCCGGAAGGCAACCATCTTCAAGTCTGCAGTAAATCTGTGCCATCAAGGCGACCGTGGCATTAGTTTGTTAGGTTCTGAAGGGCTTGGTGCGCGCGTTTTGAGCCATGCAACGCGAAAACATAGGAATTTTAAAACATGGCCGAACTGCATGTTCTTTGCCCCCCAGACCTTCGGATTGCAGCGAAATGTGGCCACTCCCATTCTTTCATATTTTGTCAGGGAATCTCGTTGAACTCAAGAGAAGGGTTCAGTTACAAGGGCACACATGTAATTAATCACATTTTAAATTGTAGCCCCCTTATTAAGGGGAAGATCTTTTCTTAGACCTCATTTACGTCACAATGTGTCGGGTGTAATTTTTGAATTATGCCTGCTTTTGTGCTGAAAACAAATCAGCCTTAGGAGGCTACGTTATTTTTGGCCCCGTTGCAAGCGACAGACAATCTGTCAGAAAATTGTTTGTTCACTGTAATAAATTAATATGTCTCCAAGTAGATTGTTCTTTTAAATGTAATCGCGCTTCTTAAGATTATCCAGACTCGTCTAATGAACGTGGTTCAAATTCTGGTACGGCAAGTTGCCATTTGGATGTAGGACAAAATATTTCTGATCATTTCAACAGGATGAGACGGGACAATGTAATTTCTGTGGAAACGAGAGTTAAATTAATATAATGTTTATTCGCCCTGGCTTTTAGGCAGAGCCAGAGAAGTTGCCGTCGGTGAATGGCGTGAAGCCGGTGAGTCCGGAGCAGGAAGAACTGATACACAGGCTTGTTTACTTTCAAAATGAGTACGAGCAACCATCAGAAGAGGACCTCAAAAGGATCACAGTAAGAGTTTTTTTTAGCTTAGAAACGGCTGCTCGACGCTTTTTTGATTCATTGAAATGTTTGAGATTTAAATGCGTTAAGAAAGTAAAATTGTTGGATGTGCGAAAATATTTTGCCTGTGAATGCTTTTTGTCCATTCTGAAACTTCGCTAGATATCAGAAAATATTTAAGTTGTGATGCGTCTGAAACGGCAAGTAATATTTTCTGTTGTAACGTAGAACCAATTCATTTTGTTCCCTGTTAAAATTATGTGAGGCTAATGGTTTGTGCCTTATGTAAACGCATAATAATATTAAAAAATTTGCAGAACCAGCCGACTGACGGAGAAGACCAGAGCGATCTGAGGTTTCGTCACATTACGGAAATCACCATCCTCACAGTCCAGCTGATAGTGGAGTTCGCTAAGCGACTGCCGGGCTTCGATAAACTGCTCCGGGAGGATCAGATAGCTTTACTCAAGGTACGGAGCATTTATTTACAGGAAGAAACTTTTCTACGCAGTGGCGACAGTAAAACATCGCCGCGATGCTGCCGGGGCATGCCCGTCTGGTGGCCTCACAAGTGACGGCGAAGGGAACGAGATGCAGATTTTTTCATTGTTACCTGGACTCAAAACTTCCAGGCTCCTTGGTTCTGTCTTCCTTCATCACAGATTATTTGTTGGTTCCTGGTTACGAAACAGATCATCAGAGCCCGAATTTTGTCGGTAACAATGAGATGAAAACTGTGTTTTGAATTTTACAGGCTTGCTCCAGCGAGGTGATGATGTTCCGAATGGCGCGGAGGTACGACGTCCAGTCAGACTCCATTCTTTTTGCCAACAATCAGCCATATACTCGAGACAGCTACAGCCTCGCAGGAATGGGGGAGACTATCGAGGACATGCTGCGGTTCTGCCGGCAGATGTACGCGATGAAGGTGGATAATGCAGAGTACGCTCTTCTCACTGCCATTGTAATTTTCTCAGGTAAATGTCTGCAGTTTCCTACGTTCCGTTTTATTTTAAAGTCGCCCGTGTCACGTACCACGTGACATCGTCTTTAATCATGGCACTCGAATGATTTATTTACAAGATGGCGGTCTTCTGGGTTGTTGTGCTGCGTAGTCAGGTGGAAGTTTACTGATGTTTCGGATGTGCTTGCTGCTTCCATCATCATCGCTCATCACCCTGATGATAGACGCAGCATAAAAAACAAATGCCACGATGTTGCAAATAGCAGAGCCTTTCCTTTGTAAGGGGCACAGAGTCCGGATGGAAAACTTTCGCAGGTCTTGCTTAATTCTTGGTCGCAGAAGACTTAATGTGCAGGAACTGTAAAATTGGACATAGGGCACGCCTACAAGTGAGAAAGGAACAAGTTTGAAAGGTGTACTCTTTGGAGTATACTCACGTTTCATAGGCGTTCTTCATTCCCCGTCGTGTGTTCTGACGTGCAAGAGTCGATCCCAACCGTGTGACGGGATTGTGGTTCCCGTTGTTGTGGAGAAGTGATGCAAGAGCTTTAAGAACTTCAAAAATATTAACAAAGGTGAACTACAGTACGAGAGTGAAGGTACGTAACAGTCAGTAGGTGTTCATTTTCCAAGAATTAATCTAATTGGGGTTCATTTTGTGCGGTTTTTGTTACTTTGGAATATGATGTGACCCTCCATACTTAATGAAAATCTAATTCTTGCACAAGCAAGTATGAATTGTTAAAGTTGAGGAATCTCTGTGTAATCAACCGCTGTTTGCTTATGTTGCAGAGAGACCGTCGCTAATTGAAGGCTGGAAGGTAGAGAAGATCCAGGAGATCTATCTGGAGGCCCTGAAAGCTTACGTGGACAACCGGCGGCGTCCTCGGTCAGGCACGATCTTCGCCAAGCTGTTATCGGTGCTGACGGAGCTGCGTACCCTCGGCAACCAGAATTCAGAAATGTGTTTTTCACTCAAACTGAAGAATAAAAAATTACCACCATTCCTTGCCGAGATCTGGGACGTCATCCCTTAGTGTCGCTGCCGCAGCAGACGTGAGCGTTGTTATAGTTAGTACAGCGATCGTAAAGCGCCATTACTTTTGGGCTTTGGTGTAAGGGAGGTACAAATCAGTAAGGGAATATACGCTGCTTTTGAACCAAATTGACTCCCATGCCGATCTGTAATCGCCTGGAAATTATTCGTCTATGAAGGGCACTGAAGTACTAATAAACCTCATGGAAATTAAATTGAATGGCGTCTGAATAACGAAGCCTCAATGCACTTTTTATAAAGTGATCTACAGTTTCTGAATTTGCGCTGTACACAATTTTAGATTGTACAGATGAGTCTGAGTCATAATATTCCAATCCAGGGGTGAGTAATCTGCACTCCATGGGCTTATGTGACCCATCACATGATTCAGGAATTGGCCGTTGCTGCAAACAAAAATTTTTGCTGCTGAGCTCACGATATACATCGCCCTTATCTCAGCGTAAGGCCGAACAGTTCCAAAAGAAAATATATTTATGAAACAAAGAATTGTGAAGATGTAGACCTGTAATATTAAATCGCATTATTGCACAAAGGTACATTGTTCTGTCGTTCAAACGTGCGACATTTGACGAGACAATACAAAAATTTCTGTGATACAAATAACTGAAGTTTTATAAAATTCACAATGACTTGTGTGAAAACCTTGAGAAAGGTAACCGAGAACTTGCTTAAAATAAATAGATTTTAAATTTAATACCCGGTATCCTCTTCATGGTAAAAAAATCCAGTTTCACTCGCTGTCCTCATCATAGTTTTTGAAGATGCGGTTGGCTAGCGTGGCCCACAGTATTCAAAGGGTGCCAGCCCCTGTTCTAAGCCACAGAATCTCAGTTTACTTCATTTGCGGTTTTGATTATCTACCGTTTGACTTCGTTGGTGCCGAGGAGGACGTAAATTTGGTTCCTGATAATTGCATATTTTCTTTTTTGTGGCGTGCACGTAAGACTGGTTTATTAAAACTGAATTTGTTCACTGCAAAATTTTTGTTCAAGAAAGCAGCCGAGACAAATTTTTGCTTGGCCATCAGATAAAGCGTCCACTCGCGCAGAGATTCATCCGCTGCAGTGACAAAGGATGACTTATGCGTGCCATCATTATTGTGAACTTCCAAAGCTCAGAAATCATTTACAAAGGAAAACATATCCATAATCTTGTCTCGTCGATGGTTCAAAGTCGAAACAATTTTGTTTCGTATTTATTCACTGTTCAGTGAATCGCATACGCGTTCCTTTGCGTAAGAGACTGCGAACTAGACTTCTGTGGCCTTCATGGAGATAAATATTCTGTCAGAAACAAACTGTGTGTGATTGAAGGAATTCCAGAAGTTGAACAGATTAGTGAATCGATATGCCAACTTTTCATCATCAAGTTGTGTATTTCTTATCGGGAATCATAACAGGATGCTTTAACTTAGAATTACGTATTTCGCCCAAAAAGGTTATGCACGAAACTTTTCTTCTTTTTCAAAAATCTCGTGACACTTGTATTTTAATATTACCTTAAACACATTCCCTGCCAGTATTTAACCCTTGATGCTCAAGCAGATAAGATATTATCCAACTTAAGGCAAGAGGATAAATTTCAAGCTGTGGAGCCTTTTGATAAATGTGAATGAGGGGACATTTTTTGACCCTGTGGTGTTCCTTCAGAAGCCCTCACTTTTGGAACAGACGGACTGGTCCCATTTTAGGTTGCTGAGAGCTGATGAGGTAGAGTCGGCATTCTGGATCATATGGACTTGAAAGTCAGCGGTTTGGCCGTCAGTGCCACGACGGTAGTTTTTCGCGTCTGTGCCACCGAGTGCCAAGAGCATATGCATGTGGTAGATACAGTTTAATGTGAAACTTATCTTCCTAATGGCATAATTTATGTCAGTGTGAAGGTTTTGTTACTTCTTTGTTCAAATATGAAATGGCAAGCAGAAGTTACTTCACACTTTAAACTCTCTTCAGTTTCAGAAATTCATTATTTTGAATTTGCTTCTGACTCCGAACAAGGAGAATGATCGATTCACTTCTGCTGTGTGTCCGTTCATCGTGCTTCATCGTAGATGCAGGTTGATTTCACAACTTGTTCATGAAACTTTACTGGCGATGCGTGCATTCCTTTGAAAACACGAGTTTACTTTCTGGCAGAATGGTGGCAATATTCTGTTGACAAATGATTAGGGACGACGTTTTTGACGCACTTGAAGAGTTATATTCGGTTAGGAGATTTTCTTTTGTTTGATTTGTACATATTTTCTAAATGACGTAAGTTTCGACTACAATGAACTTAATTTTTTATATTTGAAACTAAGATGTACCCACGGACTAAAATTTGAAGCACTGAAAACCTTTTGTGTTAACTGTAATTGTGCATTGCTATATATATATATATATATACATACACACAACACGCAAAAAGGGTACTTGGATAAAGAATTCCTTAGTTTCAGTATAAATTAAGATGAATTTGATATTTAAAATTAGACACAAGAAGAGTTTCCTCCTCAAATGGCGGAATGTAACTTCGAGTTCCTAGCGTTGGAAATGATGCAGCCTGAAATTCCAATCAGGCATCTGTTAAAACGTGTACAGAAGGTAACAGATACCTGAGTGGATAGTAGAAGCAACTGCTTGAAGCGCGGCCTTCGGAGTGGATTCCAAAGGAGATCACGCATTGAATGCGCTCGTTGGACTGACGCTTACGTGTTTATATAGTTTCTTAATTCATTTAGGCCTATCAGTGTTTTTGCACGACATTGGTTTGGCATCTCTTCGCTGTTCCTACTATAATAATGTGAAAACTGAAAATACTTAACGGTTGTGATATTGATCGATTTCTGTTCGTTCTTTTTCGGAGGTGAGAGACAATGGAAGATATGTGTAACAATTGTAGTATCTTCCTAAAACACCACCAAAATGCAGGCTGTGAAAAAAAAACTGTTTTCTGTTTCGTAAAAGTCGAGTTACTGAGAATGGGGAAGGATAGAGCATGAGAGAAATATGGATGGAAGTTTGTTTTTAAATTTGAAACAGAGTCTATGTTATTATGTATCAAATAAGATGTGGTTGTCAGTAGTTTGTGTAAATGCAGAAAGCGAAGAAGTGTTGCATAATACTTGTTAAAAGGAAACAAATTTGTTCATTTATTGTTTTATGCAGAGAATTATTTATACACGAGGATAAGTGGGTGTGAAAAGAGAAGTTGGAGGAGTTTTGGGACACAAATCCGGTGCCTTTTTCAAGTCAGAGTAAGAGGTTAGAGCATAAGGTGCAGTGGAGTGAAATTGCGCCGTGGTGTTTTGAAAGGTGCTGATTTTTGTGCGCTGGGGAGCTATGGACTTGGACCCTGCACATAGTTTCCTCTGTAATGAAAACAACGTGAAGTGATAGTAAGAAGAAAATAACCGTCCGTTTTTAAATATGATGTAAAGTAAATCAATAGTTTATTCAGGTGACATAATATATATGATAATATGAGTAGAAATAAAATCCTTAAAATATTAAGTGAAAAAGTGCTATTGTTTATATTCAGTATAAATTGCAAGGGTCATCAGTTACGTTTCCACAAGGTTTGTTTGTTTGTTTGTTTGTTTCTGTCCTGGGACTGCAGTTCGACTTGCAACGTACGAACTGCCTCATGGGATCGACGATCTGGCGCCGTGTCTTAGAAGAGAGGCGTTCTCTGCGAACAGACGTTTCTCGCGCGAACTTGAATCGGACATTTTTGAGTCCAAAATGCACGTGTGCCGGAATTAAACTTTACTTCTGAGAGAGTGGAAACTAATCAAAGTCTGGGAACTGGAAGGAACTTTGTGCTGGAGATGTCACATGATAATGAATCAAGATCTTCTGCGTAATAAGATTTGTGGTTTAAAATGATCATCCTCATGTCCTTCCTGCTTTGGAAGTGGTCATTGCAAGAGTGATAAATCTTTAACGAGATTTGTTTTTAGACGTACATATTACTACAGTTTTTTACACACTACTCCCATATTACTGCTGTCCTGCCTGATGCGGAGAAATAATTCCATTTCTTTGAATGTTTATCGCACTGTACTAAACGACCTGTTAACCAAGGCCATTAAAAGCTGTCATGGTTTCGATTTGTACTGTTCCATAATAGCGGATAGTAACAGATTCCTAAAACGTAGGTGTTTCTGAATTTTAACAGTAAATTATAGTAACACTCATTAAGTCAATATAATTTTTTTTAACCTCCCTCCCATTGTCACATTGTAAGTAATTTCGTACTTTTTTTAAAAGAAAAATATAGACAAATGGAATAGTAGTATTATACGCTGCTACAGTTTTGTTCCAATTTAGAGAAATTTAAGTACTGAGTGTAGGTAGATTTTTGTTACTGCGATCTTTTTTGCCATATATTGCCTTATCTTAAAAGGGAAAAGAATGATAAAAATATCTGTCCCTCCTAATTAAAATGGAAAATTAAACATTTTCTGTGGATAATTAAAAATAAGATGTAGGCACTGCAGCTTTTTTAAACGAAGTAACTTTTTCCTTTTTTATCGACTGTTTACCGTTGAATTCTTTGAGACTCGTATAATGTTTTAAGATTTTCTCCTGGGGCTCAACACTTAACAGCACTGCCTAGCCAAACGCAAGAGATGGGATCGCATTTATAACTCGTGGGCCGCGGCATTCATCCGCCATGAATGTCGCACGAAACATTACATGCTGAGAACTGCAGGCATGATTCCACACTGCCAAAACTGACTACCATATGAAAATGTGCTGCCCATACAATTTAGAAAATAATCTCAAGTCTCAGTCCACCACACGTAGTTTGGAAGAAAAGTACTATAAATGATTTATGTGTTCATGAAGATTCATTCTGTTTTGTATAGAAAAGTAACTCTCAGCCTGTGTCTGTGAGAACAGCATTTGCTGTCCTCCTGTATCTGTCTTAAATGTTTGTCTCCTTAACCCCTTCTATTGGAAATTCTCGACCACAGACATTTTGTTTGCTACTTTCTTCAGAATAGTCGATGTATGTTTGCGGTATTAGCACTGCAATGCATCTTCATTTTGCAGATGTTGATTTATTTCAGTGGCGTATTTCAATTGTGACATTTTGATTAAATTCAATAAGCCTTTACTGAATAATGATAATGTACACTGTGCCAGAGAAGGGGTTAAATCGGTACATTTAGCCATCAATTTTTGTGGCAACTAAGTCAATGAAGAGAACATATCGTAACAAAACCTGGAAAAATAATTTCCCTTCGTTTTAACGGCGTAATCGTAGAATATGGAAAGCAGAAAGAAATTGAAGGCCCATGTACTGAACAGACTGAATATATATTGCAAGTAAAATCTTCTAATTATTATATTTCTTGAGGATTTTTGGCATTAATTAAATTTGGTGTTTTCTGCTCAACTTACATCATATGGGATGGGGAATGTGTGCCTGATAGACACTGCCATCTGTCATCTTCCTCTACTAGGAAATTTTGTCCATCTTTCTGTATTTTAAGAGTTGACATACAATAATCAGATGGAAGCTAGAAATTTAACATGAATATGATTAGATTGACTTACTTGCCATAAAATCCATCTAAATGTAATTAAAAAAGAATCAGTGTCTGTGTTGTGCACTTGATATCCTCATTTATTTTTGTGTAACTGAGATAATTAATGTTCAGCCTATAACGTGGATAATCGAGAAACAAAAAAAAAACATTTGGTGCTGCAGTGACTAATGGAACTTCAGTTTCTTGAATCTGTGAGTTTTCTGTTTTCTGCCAAGTGCTGGATCTTTGTGTGCGTATCCTGCATGTATTTCCTGCGCTAAACACGAGTGACTAAGTCCAAGAATTATTGTATGCAAATGATGATGCGTGATAATTATTTCTGCTGCTGCATTGATGATTTGACTGCACCTAGAAATGGGTATTTGAAACTGTGTGCTTTATGTTGCTTTATTTCACACCAA